TCCAAATTTGCATTTCTAGAATTCCTTAAAACATCGTACCAAAAAGACTATACTGGTCAATAACTCATGGCTAATTTCAACATCCGTCACTGCTTATAGTACCTATACTTTTCAACATCCGTCACTGTTTATATACTTACACTAATCGATAACTCATGGATTGAAACGAGAAGCCGGAAATAAATGAATATAGTAGTAAATGGCTAATTTCGATATCAATCAGTATTTGAATTATTGAAATATTGTGATAACTAAGGAGTTGAAAAGCAACGGTTTCTCCGAAGTATAAGAATTCTAAATTTTCCATCTCTAGAATTCTTTGAAGCTTCGTACCAAAAAGATTATACGCGTAGGACAGTGCGTGTTAAATGCTAAGAACAAATAAATCAAATAAATTCCTTTTATTTTGGTAATACCGCCAAATGTCGGTACTGATTAACATGATTTGCTGGTATTCATCACTGCAAAATGTCGTTTTCCTTCAATTAAAATTGATTAAATAAGAATGAACTGAATGTAAACGTACCTGTTCATAGAAGAACAAAACTGATACAAAACGGAAGAAGTCCATTTCAAATAAAATGATAATTAAGATGGGGAACAGATAGAAAGTCTTAATATCCTCAACAATCATTAATTTGTTGAAATTTAATCAATGGAGCATGTTCTTAAACTAATTTTCCAATCAATGAATGATAAAATGATCATTAGATGCACGGTTTAGAGAGTATAATGATTGTAAGGGACTCCCCTGGTGCTTGCTCGGAGATAAATAACTGTAGAAAGAAGGGGGAAAGGCATTTCAAGTTGTATAAAAAAATGAACAATCGGCGAAGGGAAAGGTTGCACAAATTTATTCCACGGTAACTTTCGTCGAAATACGACACACAAGTAACTGCATTGTGATAGGAGTTGTCGACTGTTGTTCCTTCGTCCTTATCTTTTTCGGCATGCAGTTGGAATAAGAGTGAATTGAAGTTGATGATGATTGGACTAGTCGCGGATGTCATACCAACTGCAAATAACACTACAAGCAGAAATTATAAATTTTTGGCTGAAAAAATATGCGCAATCCACACATCATTGACTTATGACAAAACATCATTCATCGATCCTTACTTTCCGCTTATGCCACAAACGCGAGTTACAAATGATTTATAAAGCCTTATCACTCAT